AGGCCGCAACTTCAGTGGCAATTTTTGATGGGGAACATGATGATGAGTGGATGTAGGGGTAGCCTATTTTTAGGCAAGCCATCTTCCAAGCAATTTATTCCAGTTCGGCAAATGATGGACGTTCATTGGCAAACCTGAAGTTTAAAATGGTTCAAGGGCCTTGATGTGACCCGTGGGATGGGAAATTTGAGTGTCAAAATGAAGTGCATGCAAACTCATTGATGACAAACACTTCTGGCAAAACTTAGATACCTTGAACAAGATAAGTTCTTGCTAAGATGATTAGGACATATCATGTAACCCCATAAGTTTGCAAGTGAAACCCTCAATCCACGTTTGGCGAAGTTTGCCAAAGCAACACGGCATCCAAGTTGATGCCCTTTGACATGCAGGTTGCAAATCACAATAATCGTATGACTGTGGATAATAATTAGGATTATTATAACATCCCAAATTATCATCCCAATCTTATGATTATCATCCCAATTATGATTATTAACATATCATAATCATATTTGGGGATAATATTTGGGATGATACCCTCTGGTTATTTAACAAAAAGCCATGGAAAATCCACCCGTTTTTAATAGGTAAACCATCTATTTCTATGGGCCATCTATACCATGGCTATGTTTTCCATGCGCCAGGTCCATAGACTCCACGGAAACTGGGGGCCGACACCATAGAGCATCTACTCGGTTTCTTTACATTTTGAAGGGGGTAGAATCCAAAATCCAATTTTAAAGGCCACTTTTTTTGTGTAGCTGTTGTTATTCATTCAACTCCCAATTTTAGAGTTGTCATGCAACTTCCATTATTTTGGTCTCAGTCATCATGCAGAAATCTCCCAAAAGATAGAACAATAGTTGCTCATCAACCTAAAGAAACAAGAACTGAAACATGTCATTTTGGGCTAGTTACCCATTTAAAGCATTTGTTTCGGACATGTTGGTATCATATATCATATATATATATATACATACACACTGCATATTGGTATATTTGCATATATTTACTATAGGGAATCCTGACCCGTCGACCGCTTGCATGCGAGTCACCATGCGCAGCACCGGGCTCGGAACTGGTAGCCGCATTTGTTGAGCCACGGCAGCCGTGCAAACATCACGATAGTCCCTTCTCTCTAGTTGGATGTACATCCAAATAATGAATCTCATGAATTCACACAGTTATATGCTAGAGTATGTGCATATATATATATAATATAATAATAATGATAATAATGATAATTAATGATAATAATGATAATGATAATAAACATATCACTGAAAACTATAATAATGCTAAAAAGAATACTATTGTGTATATATATATATATATATATTTGTGTAGGATATTATAATGTATATATATATGTAGGATATTATAATGTATATATATATTGTATATACATATGTCATCTACAAGTTATGATGTTGTTAGCAACGTGACATCACATCCAAGTAATATCTATGTCTATACATGTATAGTATCATGCTGTCTCTGGATCTTTAGCACCATTGGCCTGCAGCAATGGAAACGGTGATATATGTACAATGGTCAAAAGTTGGTCATGTTTATCCCAAAATCATTTAAACTAATTATATTGGTGATATGAATCGTGGTATGACCATCGTGTAGGTGCATAACTTTGACCATGGCACGTTTGAAGCTGTACATTCAAATACATTATATCCAAGATGGATTGGGTTGCAATGTACCCATGTCACTGAAGGTTGGCAAGTGTCGATCAAGCAACGGATATCGCCAGTTTTGGAAACCACAACCCACAGTTTGACCATTGAGTTGACATATTGTGAAACAGCAAACTACAAACTGAAACTTCATTCCTCATGAAAGTGTCCACAAGAACTGGGTTTGTCTGAAAGTAAGATATATGACATATCATATATCCCCAAATCTCATGGTTAAAAACCTCATATTCCCCATGAAGATCTCAACACACATATTTTTTTCAGAAATCCAACGAGATCATGACGCGCCGTCATCACGATGGTCGGGAGGGAAAAGCCCAAATGACCGAATAAATCAGGTCGGTGAATTATTGAATATCCCATTCACAATTTATCTTGAAGTATGAGAATCATGTCCGATCCCCTAGGAAATCCCCATTGACTCCCTATGAAATCCACCATGAAATTTCCCATGAAATCCCCATGAAATCCCCAGGTCTCCCTGGGCTTCCCAGCCTGTTGCCTGGAGGATTTTTGGTGCACCCAATACATCCCAATGGGAACTGACATAGGGATATACAGTCATCAACCAACATGGAGATACAGTATATATAGAGATATAAATAGATATTATATGATGTATAATTATTGATTTATAAACATATATCAAGGAAAAAACAACGCCACATGAATGTATAATCAAACCAATCAATTGAATATATGATCAACCAGTATAAACTTTGCCCCAGATTTGATTTACCCCAAGAATCCAGTCCTACGGAGGTTGTGTGAGATTGGAAGACACCCTCGGCCCTGGGTGAAAATGGATGGAACCTCTTAACCTGGGTGAAGATGGGTATACCCTACAAGCAGCAAACAAGTTCAGTTTTTGCTATGTAATCTATTCCAACATTACAGCACATTGCAGCATACAATAGCCTGTTAAACCTACCCAAGCAAGCTTCGACCACCAGAACAAAAGAATGGACATGCGGTAAACCCAACAAGATACAACCACATATGGGAATGGTTGTGTTTCTTCACTTGGTTTACTGGGGTTTGCGATGGATATATCATGATGTATCTACAGTCAGATGGGTTTGTAAGCCGCATTTTAACTGGGTGTGTTTGAAACGACTGAATCAGGGGTGGTTTATGATTTCAGGTTTATCACAACATCCCCATTGAAGCCGATTAAATCCACATTTGTGTTTTTCAACACACGCCATTTGGTTTAGTTGCTTTGAACAATACGTTAACCTACCAAGCAAGGGTTGACACAAGAACATTTGGGGTTGTCTGAAAAAGCTAGCCCCCAACATGTCATGCTTTGAAAGCCCCTTCTCACTTACAAATATATATATATATATATACATTTACATAAAGCCGCATCCCACCAATCATAGCTGGACAAGCACCCACACCAGCAAGTGGTGCGCATCCACCATATATAGGGTTATTGATACGGTCATTGCCAACTTGACGACTGGTGTCATCCCATTTATAGTTTCATAGTTATATATTCAACTATATTATACAACTATATTATACAAAACTGGCTTGAGCTGTGACCTTCCAAGAATTTACCCTTGATAAATGATTTAACTACTGGATGTCAATACCCCAATTGATGATAAATGATTTAACTACGGGATGTCAATATATGTCATTGATTGGAGTGCATTGGATTTGGGGAAATTGTCTTTCAGAATTTCAGTGATTTAGACGAGGAACAAGTGAGAATCTGTCTGTCAACACAGATCTCGTAGTTATTGTTGTAAGCTATGGATGAAAACCACCAGGGCTGAATCCAACGACACCATCTCGATTGTTCATGGGTGATAAAGATATGTTCTTGCCACCAGTGTTTGAATTCATTTTCACAACATTTGATCCCAATAAGTTCAATAATTTCATTGTTGATCCCATTTTACTCCAATTAATTGTTTGATCTGAGCTGCAGTGTGAGTGAGCTAAGATGACATCAGAGACCCTCAAACACCACTAAATAGCCATATCTATGACTAAGCATCATCTACAGTGCAGTAAAAACAATTTTCCACCATTTGCCACTATTTGTCTACGATTTGCCTTAGATTTGCCATCATTTGACCCAGATTTACCTTCATTTGCCTAAGTCATCATTTGCCATGATTTACCACCATTTGCCGCTATTTAACCCTCATTTTACCTGTGGCTCGTTTACCTGCGGCTCTTAATCAATATATGAATATATTTATATTGTTGTGTTATCTTAAATATGTGATATCATATTATGCGATATCTATCATATTATGTCATTATATATATAATCATATATAATTATATCATGTATATATTCTGTTTGTACATACATAGAAATAGATTCAGATATAGACAGTGGATTATATATCCTGATATCCGGGTACTCATGGACGAACCATCAAGAAAGATATGGCTCCACACCATTCCATACCCACCATATGGCCCCCAAACCTTTGGAAGGAACGATCCCGCCTGAGAGCCAGGTCCACTGCCTGCACTTCATGAAGTTTACGGCTGCAACATGTACCTTTTTTAATGAACTGTTAACAAAAAGGATTCATTATGATTCATTCCATTGTTGCTGGGAATGTTCACAAAACAAAAATGGTAGGACATGTTTTGATGCTAGGGTCAAGTCCACATGTATCTAATGGCAAACTTATTGTATGGCGAAGTCCCAATCATGGTTGCCAGTCTTATGTCCCATATGGTGAGTTGATGTTAGTTGATGATTCACTTGGAATTAACCCTGAACCATAAACTCTTGTTGGCATGTTTGGATCATAGTTTGTTTGGTCCGAAATGGTAACTCATTATGTAAGGATGGGTAAGGTTCATTATTGCATTATATTGCATTTAAATCAGGATATGGTTTCTGAAGGGGGTGCATCTCAAGTCGCCCAAACATGTCCAAACAGCATCATGAAATGACTTTTTGCATAACGGTGATTCAGCATTTCCAGTCATAATTGTAACAGCCCTGAGGTTCTTGTAAGACGTCCTCAGTCATCAATCATTTTGGAATAGACTTTAGGAATGATAATTACTTGCTGGTTGGTGGTTTCAACCCCTCTGAAAAATATTAGTCAGTTGGGATTATTGTTCCCAATATATGGAAAAATAAAAAATGTTCCAAACCACCAACCAGCTTGGGTCTGGATGGGTTCCTACTGAACTTGTAGACACCCCAAATCAACAAAAACCATTGAACCAAAAATGGCAGGTGTCGTCCGAACATCCCACACTTCACTGCAGAAGTCTTCATCTCTCAACCGTCCCAACCCTTTAGCCACATACCTCCTGGTCCATGTTGGCAATTGCAGGCTCAGCAATCACCAATGCCTTCACAGAAAGGGGCAAGTCGTACACATCTTAAGGACGTACACATCTCAGGGACGGCCAAACCAACCCAACATGGCTTACCCTTCAGTGGAGCCCAGAAAAATTGCCTTCGATCACACAAGAATGGCAGTGGCCGCCAGGTACATGCTCAATTCAGTGGATTTAAATCGCGAATCTTCCCATGCTGGACATTTTAAGATTTTCCAAATTTCCCAGTTCCTTGAATTCAGAGGTTGTGATACTTGGAACGAGTCAATAACATTCCATTAAAAATTATCCATTAAAACAAATTGATTTATGGTGGCGGATACGAACTTATTAAACATATGCATGTATGTATGTATGTATGTATGGATGGATGGATGGATGGATGGATGCATGTATGCATGCATGTATGCATGTATGCATGTATAATGTATGTGTATATATATATATTATATGTATATAATCTAATATATATATATATGCATAACATGACTATGGGTCAAAATCCTTTTACATCATGGGTACCCTGGCGACCCTGGTGAACGCCCAAATAACTCGGATTCATGGATGTTTCACTCCCCAGAATTTGTGGAAGATCAAATGTTCTAACCCATCCGCACTATATCATCATTTACTATACCATCTGGTAATCAAACATGGCAGTGGAAAATCCCCTAAGGCCTATGTGCCTAGAGGATTCTCCCAGCAAACAAAAACCATTTATACGGGCATTTCCCTGGCAGCCATGTTTGATGACACCCGAGGGTATCAATTCTTCCACTCAGCAATACCAGATTGTTGTTTTTGTGAAATCTCCAGTTTTTGTTTGGATTTCCCATAGATTTTCCAGGAATCCACAGCTGCCCTGGTCGCCAACCCGACCGCCTCTTGCAGATGTTCCATGGCCCCCAGAGATGCTGCGGAGAGCCTGGTCCTTCTAGGCGATGGCAATTGAGATGGCCTGGAGGGGTGGGCAACCCATCCCCTAACAATGATGGTCACCACGTAAAAACATGATATTTTGTTGGGAAAAATGGAGTGAAACGGTTGATGGGACTCAAAATCCATGGTTTATCCATGGTTTATCCATGGTTTCCAAATGTTTCCAGGGTGTATAGTCAATATCAGCGGGATGGGATTAGCCGCTTAGCCCGGTGCACCTTGTCGTTCCTGTCCCCAGGTCCCCGCACAGCCAGCTTTGGGCCGAGGCGGCCGAGGCCGTCGAAGGATGAGACCTGAGCCCAGCTGGGCGTCTTGTCCATTGATTTTCAAGGATAACCTTAGATGTTCTGTTCCAAACAAACATGGTAGGTAAAACTACATGATTCTTCTATGACCTACCCCACCAAAGTTTATCTAAAACTAAAGCAAAAACATGGGAGTTGAACCACTTAACATGGGAAATCTTTACAAATACAAACTCAAATTTGAGGACTTCAAATACTCAAATATCGCGAAGTTGGATATCAGGAAATGGTATCAATCAATAGCATGATAATTAAATATATCCATACTAAACATAACCTAGCAATACCTAGCATGTATTGCCCCAAGTGGCTTGTATTTTTGACCCATACTGACATACTCTAGAAACCATTCAAAAGAGTGTGTGTTTGTTTGTGTGTGTTGTTGTTGTTGTTGTTGTTGTTGTTGTTGTCGTTGTCGTTGTCGTCGTCGTCGTCGTCTGTCGTCGTCGTCGTCGTCTGTCGTCGTCTGTCGTCGTCGTCGTCGTCGTCGTTGTCGTTGTTGTTGTTGTCGTCGTCGTGGTGGTTGTTGTTGTTGTTGTCGTTGTCGTTGTCGTTGTGGTTGTGGTTGTGGTTGTGGTTGTGGTTGTGGTTGTGGTTGTTGTTGTTGTTGCTGTTGTTGTTGTTGTTGTTGTTGTTGTTGTTGTTGTTGTTGTTGTTTGTGTGTGTGTTTGTGTGTGTGTTTGTGTTTCAATTGCAATGACCCACCCTGAACTGGGAAAGTTGAAGCGGTAAAAACCGGTATGTCAAGCACTGTAAGTGGGGTTAGAATCAACAATCGTGACAAATTCAGCAAGCCTGATTGGTAAGGAAATATCTGGGGCTGTTGTCACCCCCACAGGCGAAGCAAACCTCTTCAAAAGGTGCTGATGCGAACGGCGGATATTATCATAGATTAAATATCTATAATAATATTCTATAATATTTAATGGATAGATCCGGATTCATTCCGGCATGCAAAGAAGCCAAAATATCTTCAACTGCACTATTAAAGGACAGAGAAATTGATAAATATTAAATCACTGACCAACGTCATGCTTCTTACTGAGGTCAGCGGCTGTTCGCAGGTTTCCTCAGACACCTGGAAGCTGCTTGGCAAGAAAAACCAACAGCTGTAGTGCCATCCGACTTGGTCTGGGAATCGTTCTGATCATTCATAATTATTCATAATTCAAAATCACATTGTCACAGAGGTAGTTTGAATCCCGAGAGCATGGAGGGACCAGAATCCTTACGGATATCCCCATAGATCCCCATGAATTACATCGACGTTGCTCCTGTTGTGCTGAAAATCACCATGAAAACCATCCCCTAACGGCAGGGATTGTCACAAGCCATGGAGCACCCTGCGCCGGAAATTGCTTTCTTTTCCCCTTGCACTTTTGCCGTCAAGATATTGAAGCAGATGGAGCAAAACGAGGTGGAGAGTAAAAGGCCCCGGTCGCGAAGAAGAAAAACCAAACGGACCAGAACTCCACGACAAAAGTTGGCCGCACAAGCTCTCATCCAGACTGGGGTAAATTTGATTATGACTCGATGACCATGACAGCCAACATGGATTGAACATTCATGCAGAGCACGCAGACAGTGAGCATCAATGCTGTAAGGAATGCACCCACGAGTGTCTGCCAAATTCCGTTTGACTCTGACAGCTCACAATCAGCCGAGCTCAGAGGGAGTCCTCAGATATGCGTTGAACTGATCCAGGATTTCATCGTGGGTGGAGTAGCAGGTGATGATGTGACATCACATGCTCCATCTGAAGCAGCATTGACTTTTATTTCTGTATTTCCGTACTTTCTGCACAACCAGAAGCATGGGAACGCACAGAATCATACCTGGAGGTCCGGTCTGAGCTACTTTACAATGAATCAACGGGATGGCCAAAGGGCCGCAAGGCGAAGGTGTTTGTTCGACCAAAATCATCGTTGATTTTGAGCTGCAAAACTCTGCAATAGCCAAGGTCCATGGTGATGTTGGCGAGGTCGTTGTAGTTAGTATGTTGTAGTTCATCCAATCCAGAATCCCCAGTGGGCTTTCTGGGTGGTTCCCAAATATCTTGGTAAAATCCTTTTTTTGACTATAGAACTGTATTCAAACCCTCCAATCATTCACAATGCATATCCCAGTTCTGAATATCGCAAATAAATGGTTCAATCCAAATTGATTCCTAAACAAATAACAAACACCACATTTTCGGTAGTTTTGCTGGTCAAATCCCCATGGGAACATCCTAAAAATAACAACACCATTGGGGTGGCACCTCAACCACTTCTGCTATCGGCTGTGATCCTTCAGGCTCAGAGGGGGTCCTGGCCAGCAAGAAGCAACAAAAATAGGAGGAACCTACCATTTGATGCTTATATAGTTGGGTAATAGCAATGAATATACTTGAATATATGTGATGCTTATATTATGAATATAACTCATTTGATTCTTGAGGTTAAATGGGTTCCTTAGCTTCACATTCCGTAACATGCATGTAGTCTGGATATTAGTCATCATCATCATCATCCCTGGCTCCTTAGCTCCAGCGAGATCCATGGCAATGAAGCCATGGCTAACTGATGTCTAATTTATCATGGTTTGATGTTCAAGCCATGCTATTGGATTTAGACACATAACATCACATAACCAATCATTGAACCTGCTTTGGCATACAAATCGAGAGAAACATATCAGAAGTAAAGCCACAGAGTTGATCATTTTCCATGGTGGAGTTTAAAGTTTACATTTCCAGTACTGCACTGATAGTGGAACTAATAGTTTCAGCCAAAGCGATTAAAAAACACTGGAAATTTGGTTTTAGTGGCTCCAATTTGGTGGTCTCCAGGCTTCAAGATCTTTTTCTGATGGATGGCTCTCACGGCTGAAAAGAGCCCAATCACCTTTTGGGGGGCTAACAACCACGTCTTTCTCTCAAACTTAGCAGGGTCAAAACGCAGAACGCAAAACACTCGTTCCGGAACGCGCGTTCCGAACGCAGGAGGGGTTTATAGTGGTTTTTGGCGGCCAGAAGCGTCCCAATCCTATTTTTGCTCCTTCCAAAAAGGATCCGCTGTGTCACATAGAGTTTTTCAACAATTTTCAAATTCTTCTTGGACCTCTGTTAATAGCACTACAAAAAAATGTGAGAGGTCAGAACATTTTTTCTTTAAGAGAAAAAAGGATCCGGGAAGGACAGGCCAGCACCTTTTTTGCTTCACCCAAAAAAGGATCCGGAGTTGGGAAGATCAACTTTCTGGTGACTTCATCCACCATTTTGAGCCCATAAGAGCTCTCAAAATCCTTTTTTATTTGGAGGGAAAATTTCAGTGTCCAGGCCACGGAAATACATTAACTTTGGACTGCAGGAAAAAAAGGAACCACTCAGAACGCGCGTTCCAGAACGCGAGTTCTTAAAAGGCGCGTTCCGAACGCCAAACCGTATCGAAGGAACATGCTAAGCTCTCAAAGAATCCACAAAAGGACACATCCCTCTATTAATTTGAGGGATAATCATTGACACTCATATCCCATATCTTTAAATTAGCTGAAATCACCATATCTTTTGAAGAAAATCATTGACACTCATCGAACTCGACTGAATGGGCGGCGTCCACTCATCCCCTGGGATCCTTGGAAGATCAAAGGCCAAGTTCAGCATTTCAACCTGAGGCAGCGGCTGATAACATACGAGAAGAAGTTTTTCAATGTACCCAAAAGTGGCAATAAATTATCTATATTATATACAAAAGTTGGTTTAGAGAAATGTCAAAACCTCATTAACTAAACTAGTCTATTCAATAGTTTGATCAACAAAAATACTAGTTACTAGTTATTAATTATTACTGTATAGGTTCTTCTAGTATATAAAACAATATATGTAATATATAAATGATATATAAATGTATATACACACATGATTTCCCAATTCTATCCCTAGAACTGGTGTGTTTGCTCAGCCGGCCAGCCCATTGTCTCCGATTCTTGGACCTCCAAGGCTAACTGCCCCATGATGAGCTCCGAGGGATCTTCCCAGGTGGTTTGCCGCGTTTCCACATGGAAGTAGAAGGTCCTACAGCGGATCCGCGGGGATCTGGGAGACTTTATTTTAAGGGGAGACATGTGGATGGTAACATGATAAATCCAGTACATATGTAGATTGTCACATGTGAATGATAATTGTGATATGGATCCAGCATGATCCAGCAACATAAGTAAAGATACATTGAGCCCCTGTGCATCCAGATGGAGAATTGAGAATCAAACTTCTTGGGCCATCAATTCAAAGGTTTCCCCTGCAAAACAAGTCCAAAAGGCAAGCACAAAAACTGGGACAATCGCAACGAACTCAGAAACGGTTTGCATAAAAATGAGCATAAATAAATATATATATATATATATACATGTATTATATCCATACATGCTTACATGATCATACATGTATATATCCCAATATCCCAAAATTGCATTTTTAATGGAGAAAAAATGTGCAAAGACATTGGATGTTGGGGGTACCTATTCTTTGACAAAGACACGTGAAGCCCTGCGCTTTGCTGATTGCTTAAACCTGGTTCGCTAAAATCTGAGATCGCAATAAGGCTGCTTTTGAGACAGGCTACAATTATATTGCAATATATATATATATATATGTATATATATATATTATAACATATATATATATATTGTAGCATATATATATATAAATTATAGCATATATATATATATGGTTGTTGATCAAAATTCTTTTATCCCGGAACGGCCATTCTTCGCGAATAAACATTTTACTTTCGCGAAACTTTCGCAAACTCCATGTTTATCTTTCGCGGGGCCCATGTTGGCCAACAACACCTCTTATGAAGATTCGTTCACCACCTGCATTTTATGCCAGAGAATCACGGATCACTTCTTGGTAGCCTTTTAAACATGCAGCTAGCATCACGGAATCCCTTCTCAGGACAGTTTTTTTTGCAAAGTTTACTGGCCCACCCCCTTCAACATGCACTTTGACTTCGCCCGCTCTTTCGCATAACTTTCGCGGAACTTTCGCGAAATTATCCCTATTCACAGACCCCGGCCATCAGCAGGGGGGTGCACTGAAGGAAAAGCGAAGACCAGGGGCCTTGGTGTTTGGCTCTCGCAAAGCCTCACTTTTGGAAACTTGGCTACTGCTACTCGCATTCTCTGGTGCCCTTCTCCTGCCGGACCCCGGGCGGCAGCGGGTTGGCAGCCCTTTACATATAATGATTATAATACCCAACTTTCGCGAAACTTTCGCCAAATAAAATTTTACTTTCGCGAACTCGAAAAAAATCTTTCGCGAGGATTTCCAACATAACATGCACGGCTTTCGCAATTAAAACTCCTTACAAGGACCTTTAGATCGATCACCATATATATATATTATGCATGTACACACACTTGGTATAAATGTCCTTACAACAAAAACGGTTGTTGGTGTCCCAGTCATCAGCTTCTTCGAGGTTCTACTGCAAATCACCACCGAGGTCGTTTCGTGAAACCCCCGCTATCCCTCACATGCTCCATGTATGGTGTACTACCGAGCTGGTTCATGCTTGGGAGAGCATGTTGGTTCCAAAAGCATTCAGCTTATTTCAGCTTCGGAGGAAGCACCAAGATTGATATTTGGATATTTGCCACCTTGTGCTGTCAGTTCACAGCCTGGTTTCGCCTCAGCTATATGAATCTGGCGATATGCCGAACCTCCTGGAACCTGGGGAGGGGTGCTATATGGTGCTATAATCCACCCAAATCCATGGTGTCCTGCCCTCCGCCTGCGATTCTCTCCATTGTTGCCATTCAGCCTGTCGGATGATCTCATCATGCCATCCCATCCGAAACGCCATATGGGACACAGATCCACCATTATTCCACTATAGTCACCATGGTTACTGGGCTGTTTCAGAGGCTGTTTCATGTTGTTTCCCAAGGGCTTTTTGAACCAACCAACTCTACACAGTCACATCACGGAGATCATGATGGCTTGGGGTTTGGGCACCTTGACCACCTCTCCACCTCAGCTCATTGGGTAACATGAATCCTGGGCTCCAGTTAGTGCTCAAAGGTTCTTGACCCAAAAAGAAACCATGAAAACAGGTAGAGTACCAAAATATACCAAAATGACATGTGGGGCACACAACAAGTTTGATGGGTAAATTTAGGGTCTAGTTTATGAAAACCATTTAAGATTGATCTTTCAAGGGATTCCCCCGGTTTGACAGGTACTTGAACACTTAAAGGTATCCCAGTCAGTAACTCCATTTTTTTTTGTCACGTATACACCATGGGATACTCCATAGAGTACAAAATTGGGGAAACATAAACGTGTTCATGAATCCGGTTACAGTGCTAGAACACATGCACATTACAGTAACTATAGTGTTACAAACGGATACAAGAGGTATATTACAGGACCCAGTTCTAGAATGTTTATGAGCCAGTTGAGGGACGCATCTGGGTTTGTTCCAAACCGTGGTACATCGAAATGCAATGGTTTAGTATCTTTCCAAACATTGCCAAATGGTGGTCCGTATAGTATATTCAGTTCGGAACAATCCCATAGTTGCCATTCTTCATTGGTGGAATCCCTATTGCTGATAGTTCAATCCACATTTTTGAAGTGTTAAATCACCATGGTTTACTGCGTGAATCCTCATTTTTGCTGGCAAATCTCTCATTATCACGGCCAAATCCGAATGTTCAATGATGTTCAATGCTTAAATGTCCATTTCTGGTTGCATCACCAGTTTCACCCGTTGCACCTATCTACTGGGTGCCTCGCCTCTGCAGAAGCCCTGAAGCGTTGCAACTCCACCTTCACCGCAGCGCTGCTAGGAGCCACCTGACATGGTTTTAACAACGGGGGGTTGTTACATTCGGTTTGCCACATTGACCCAAAGTTGCTGAAAAACCCCATATCTCCCCCAAACAATAATGATAATAGTTATTATTATTATTATATATAAATAAATATCTATATATAAATATATATATATATATAAATATGTTATCATTATCCCGTACATCCCATATACAACCTATGTCTCCCATCGGAGAAAATCGGCGACGTGGACCGCCTCCACGCGGCGATAGGCGTCCACCACGCGCTGATGTGCCGGTCGCATGGGATGACTCCAACTGGGCGATCGCTTGGAAGCGGATAACCCCGGGAAGAACATGGAATGTATATAGTATATAGTATGTAGAAGATGGCCAAATAGATGTAGATATAGTAAATATATAGTAAATATATTGTAAATATTGTGTAAATATATTGTAAATATGTAGTATAGTAAATATATATATGTATATATATATAGTGTGTATATATATATATATAGTGTATATATATATATATACAGTGTGTATATATATATGTATATAGTGGATATATGGTTAAGTCATCCTTTTTTTGAATGTAAAGATGATCCAAATGATGAACCAAGGGTTGAGTGATTAGTTTTTGTTACACGACAAAATGGATGAACATGATGTAATTCAATTAATATTATGGAAACTGAAGATATGTGGAACACATATGTATGATTGTATATTTCTATGTATATGTATATGTATATATGTATATGTATATATGTATATATGTATATATGTATATATGTATATGTATATGTATATGTATATTCATGAAAAGGAGTGGATTCCAGTACGCAATTAAAATTAAATCACGATCTAAACCGTTACCATCAGATACACTTCAACCTGTCCCTGCCAGGTGTGAACTCGAGATTTAATCCCTTTTGTTGCTGGATCATTTTGGGAGGATTAAATTCTGATTTAATTCTTTGCTAATGACATCTGGAGATTTCAGGGGGAGGTATCCATCTGTGGGGAATTAAATCTTGATTCAATTCTTTTTTATGGTGTGCGGCTTTGATTTTGGGGCATTAAATCTTGATTCAATTCTTTTTTATGGTGTGCGGCTTTGATTTTGGGGCATTAAATCTTGATTTAATTCCTTTTCATTGGGAAATCATGTCAGAGTATCCAATAGTAGTTCCAATAGTATTATCATGTATTATCATCTTTGTGATTTTTGGAATGTGTCCTTTTTTTTGAAGTGCGGACGGTATACAAGTCGGTCAGAAGCAGTCAAAGCAATATCACTGGCTGCAAGATAGTACCAACCACACTGAATAAAGCAATCAAAATGGGCTCATGGTTCTGTGGGGTAAACATCACCAAACAAATTGCCAACCGAAGAATTCGCAATATTGATGGTTACTAATTATGATAAGGAAGAAATATCCATTGGCTTACACGGAGTATTAGAGTACAATATAGCATATGAGCTACAGCCAAAATTTAGGTTTTGGGGCATTAAATCTTGATTTAATTCCTTTTCATTGGGAAATCATGTCATTTGGTTGCCATTCATGGGAGTTTTGGCTTCAGATGATGGCTGTGGTGGCAGTGGCCCCCCGCAAAGCGGGGCGGCAACTGCCTCCATGGCGTGAGCTGGAAGTTTGTCAGGTCGAAAATCTATCGCTTCGCCAGAGAGCGTTGCAATGGCTGACTTCGACTGGCAGGCAGTGTCATCCTTTGACGTCATCCAGTGATCGGGGCCGGAAGACGTATTTGGCAGTCTGCAGCTACCACTCACAGTGCCCCAAACGTTTTCGCTTTGCCTTGCTTGGGGACGATCGGATGATGGTGAGCGAACTAAATGAGCACGGTGACAAGGTTGATCTGCAAGTGCCTTGTAGCATTTTTTGGTTGCGTTCTTTTTGGATGACTCAAATCTGTTCTATTGTTGTGAAGGGTTTGGTCCTGCTGATTGTGACTTTTCTCTCTGCTTGCCATTTGAGATTTGAGGTTGCTAGACGGGAGAACGTCAGAAAGTATGCAAAAGTTGATTCTGCCTCTAGGGCGCTGAATCGGATGGAACTTGACAAGGTTCCAGTGGAGGAAAGGCCGCCTGCATGGCAGTTGAAAAACTATCGGCCTAGCAAGAAAGAGGCTCGCCAGAAGCTTGCAGCGGCTTGCGTCGCTTCCTTGCAGGACTGGCTTCAGTCGCCACCTGCCAATGTGGTCATTCATCAGGAGTGTTTGGAATGCTCTGCAGAGTCTGTGCGGATCGTTTTTTCCTTCACGCTGGCTGAGGAGTGGCTGAAGACGCAAGACCTTCCATGTTTTCTTATGGACTACACCTGGAAGACAAATCAGCCAGGCTTGGTATTGGGTGCTATTGGCCCGGCAGGTCTCCGAGCTTGGCCAGATGGAAAACCCCATGTTCGTTTTTGTCCCATTCTGTCTTTGCTCGCGCATAGCGAAGACGAAGACAGCCATCATCTGCTGGTCAAAAAGTACGTGGAGATGTCGAAGTCTGTGGGGATCACCTTAACAGACGGGTTTTTTGACAACAGCTGCTATGTGGGAGCAAAATCTGCCTTGGAAGCTGATGAGACGATGCGGCACGTGAGGCTACATCGCTGCTTGCAGCATTGCAAGGAGAACATGAAAGCAGAAGGTAGGAAGAAATGTCCGGAAAGTGGAGTTTCCTGGCTTTCGATTTTTTTTGTTGTCACGGAAGTACATGGTTGGATACGTACTTAACGAGGTCAACCGCATAAGGCAACTTTAAATGTTGTTGTTATGGGGTTCATACGAACTAGGCCCCCTGAAACAGAAGAGATGTCGTTAAAACAAGACCAGAACATATGGCTCCATGGAGATTGAATTTGGGTCTGTGGATAAGAATTATTAATTATGCAAATCTACTTTTATTAGCAACAAAAGAATAACTATATACATGTGTTGGGACTATTTCACGTTTTATTTGCAGATCATTGAATTGAACGCATGTTTCCTCAATCAAATGACTTGGGCTCTTGCGGGAGATAGGTTAGATCTTTTTTTAGGGATGATGTTTGAAATGATAGTGTTAGGGTCTATGACTACCTTGTATGGGGTTGGTGACTGGATTCGGGGTTTTCAGTCTGGCGTTTCCGAGCCAAGGAGCTACGTATGAAAAACGGCGAACTCCTCCCAGTTTTGACAGACTTTTTGCAATGCTCGGCATTCTTGCCTTCAACTCTGGAGTTTTCATGTTTCTGGACCACAGTGTTGGAACGGTTGCAAGCTCCAGCTCCAGATGGTTGGGGTGAGCCTGCAATGCATGACTACCTCTTGAAGTACCTGCTTTCCAAAAACGGTGATGTCTTGACGGCAACTTGGCGGTCTGGCTTTGGCACTGTCCCACTCGGTTTTTCCACATATGCGCCAAATGCAGTGGAGCGAACGTGGCGTTTGCTGAAAGGGCTCTTGAAGCCAGGGTCCGGGATGTGACCAAAAAGAATTCGACAAATGGTCATGGTTACACCTCTTTAACTATGTATAAAGAATTACATACGATATAATATATGATGTCTCGTTTCCAAAGGGCAGACTCGCATTGCCGCCGACCCCCCGAGAGATCCTGATGTATCTATCTATCTATCTGTCTAAGACTCTTTACAGGGAGTTGGGAATGGTGAGTCCCCAGCAGGAGTTCTTTAATGAAACTTATCTATCTATCTATCCATCTATCTATCTATCGATCTGTCTAGCTATCTATCTACCTATCTATCTGTCTATCTATCTAGCTGTCTAAGACTCTTTACAGGGAGTTGGGAATGGTGAGACCCCAGCAGGAGTTCTTTAATGAAACTTATCTATCTATCTATCTATCTGTCTGTCTATAGCTAGCTAGCTAGCTATCTGTCTAAGACTCTTTACAGGGAGTTGGGAATGGTGAGTCCCCAGCAGGAGTTCTTTAATGAAACTTATCTATCTATCTATCCATCTATCTATCTATCGATCTGTCTAGCTATCTATCTGTCTCTCTATCTGGCTATCTATCTAGCTGTCTAAGACTCTTTACAGGGAGTTGGGAATGGTGAGACCCCAGCAGGAGTTCTTTAATGAAACTTATCTATCTATCTATCTGTCTGTCTATCTAGCTAGCTAGCTAGCTAGCTAGCTATCTGTCTAAGACTCTTTACAGGGAGTTGGGAATGGTGAGACCCCAGCAGGAGTTCTTTAATGAAAGTTATCTATCTATCTATCCATCTATCTATCTATCGATCTGTCTAGCTATCTATCTATCTATCTATCTATCTGTCTCTCTATCTGGCTATCTATCTAGCTGTCTAAGACTCTTTACAGGGAGTTGGGAATGGTGAGACCCCAGCAGGAGTTCTTTAAGGAAAGTTATCTATCTATCTATCTATCTATCTATCTGTCTGTCTATCTAGCTAGCTAGCTAGCTATCTGTCTAAGACTCTTTACAGGGAGTTGGGAATGGTGAGACCCCAGCAGGAGTTCTTTAATGAAAGTTATCTATCTATCTATCTGTCTGTCTATCTAGCTAGCTAGCTAGCTATCTGTCTATCTGTCTCTCTATCTGGCTATCTATCTAGCTGTCTAAGACTCTTTACAGGGAGTTGGGAATGGTGAGACCCCAGCAGGAGTTCTTTAAGGAAAGTTATCTATCTATCTATCTATCTGTCTGTCTATCTAGCTAGCTAGCTAGCTAGCTATCTGTCTAAGACTCTTTACAGGGAGTTGGGAATGGTGAGACCCCAGCAGGAGTTCTTTAATGAAACTTATCTATCTATCTATCGATCTATGCAACCCCTCAAGGCAGCGCAACTTGGAGCCTGCGACCCTCATGGTTGAGACTTGTCAAGCTTTCACTTCCAGACTTAATGCTGGCGAGTACAATGACATGCATGCTTCTGTGTCGTTGCCTTGGGCAAGTTTGAAGTCTCGCAAGGACGCGCTGTGGGTCCGGACACTCGGCGAGGAAGAGGAGAAGCAGCACAAGCGGCTCTGCTTGGACAGCATTTTGAAGCATTTCCGAGCTCATGGACCTACATCGACATTCATGGCAAGCACTTGCTCGGTCACATTAGAAAGTGGAGAGAAAGGAACCCGCATCTATGTGATCCCCAAATACCGACTGCACCTTGCCACAGAGGCTCGAGATGACATGTTTGCCACCATGCGTTTGTCCCTGGCAACTTCGACCTCAGAGGTGGAGGAGGCTTGCTGTGACCCGGAGACAGGCCGGTGGAGGTAGTGTCCAAAACTCGACGCACGTCTTCCCATGGTTCATTGACTATATACCCTGATTTGCCATTAATTCCCATAATCCATGGTGATTTTGAAGTTGACCGTTCAATGATATCAAGGAATGGTAAGATATCCCGACATCCCATGATATACCTTTTTGGTTGTGAGCAGTGTTCAAAACCATTTGTCTTCCCACATGGTTGGCGATTCGGAATTCTCAGTTCATGGATTCTAGAAATTTGTCCCATTTCAAGTAGTATAATTTCCTTTAACAATGAGCCATGGTGGTCCACATTCTATGATGATTGGTTGGTTTCATGCCCAATCTTGTCTGGCCCCATTGCATGCTTGTAAGTTTAAAGGCAAGGAACGTCCCCTGGCCGAAACAGGTGGCTATTGTGTGCTGCGGCACCTTCGCTTGAGGCAGAATTTCTGTGCAATTTATGTAACCGAGGAGGGAAAGTGTGTAGACACGCACAAGGATTACATCTCAGGCTGCGGACACACGGAACATTGCCTTTTTGTATCAGCCTTGTTGCAGAAAGGCGGAGTTGCAGAGATTCGGCATGGACCGGAGTTGTCCAGGCCAAAAAAGAAGGTCAAGAAGTCGATGAAGGCAAAGCGTTCAGAACGGCTGAAAAGCATGTTGCGTGCTCCAAAAAAAGAGGTTTGTGTCCGAAGCAACTTGGACCCTGGTGCAGAGCTTCAAAGACAGGATGTTTCAAAGCTTTTGCCTGGCTCAGTGTCAGAACCCACACAGCGACCCATCCTGCATTCCTGTTCCGATGGTGCGGAGGAGCTTTGCATGGCTCGGACTCAGAAAGCTTCCCGCTGCAAAAACCAGCGTTCCATTGGAAGTTTCTGCAAGAAGCACTATGATGAGGCACAGTCCCAAAAATATTGCATGAAATTGTTTGACAGCTTGCCCGCTGGAGAAGCCATGAGTGCATGGGAACGCTCACAACTGGAGCTGGCAGTAGCGCAGAGCATGGAAGAGAACGAGGAGCTCCAGCGAAAAGAGGCGCTCAGTGCTGGCAGGTTGGACCGGCGAATGGCCGACTTGGGTTTGAAGAGAGTTCCAGTGGCTCGATTTGGCGCTTGCCAATTTGAGGCAATTTGCTATTCTGCAGAGTTGCCCATGAGTCCAATGGCCTTGCGCCTTGCAGCAGTTGAATACCTCAAGCCTCTTGGAGCATTGTTTGCTGACCGCTTGGAAGGCAAGTTTCGAGGCCAGTTTCAGGCCTATTGCCAATACATGAAGGCTCCAGATTCGTGGGGCGACGACATGACTTGCCTTGCCTGCTCACACCTGCTGCGCCGACCAGTTGATATCATCACTGACTCCGGTGACGACTCAAACTTTGTGGTAAGCATGACGCCACCCGATATCATCAGCAAAGACATTTGGGGACCCAAAGTCACCATCAGTTTGATGATGGACAAGCACTACGACGCTACGGAGCTGGCTTAACTGCCTGTCTTCTCACTGAAAAAAATCTGTGGCTGCTGCGTGGACGTTGCTGTTCAGTCGAGAGGCCAATGGTTTCACAAGGCTACACGGCTACACCCTCGAAGATAATCATGAAGAAGATAGAGAGCAACCAGAGAGTTGAACAGAGCACAGACCAGAGGATCCAAGCCAATATAAAAAGAATTAACTCAAGATTTAATTCCCTCAAAAGAATTCCTATATCAACTATTACAGCTAAACTTCGGGCAATTGCACTTAAAGAGACTACATGAAAAGAGTAGAGAAGAGAAAGGGAAAGAATCAGAAGGATGGAGAAGGTAGAGGAGAAACAAAAGAGTTGAAAAGAAGAGAGAAAAATAAATACAAGCAGAGGAGGGAAGAAGAGGGAAGAAAGAGCAGGAGGTATCAAACACAATTTGAACAGAATTAACTCAAGATTTAATTCCTTCTCAAGAGATCCCATCCCAACTGAAAGAGCAGGAGGTAGCAGAGTCAATAAGAACAGAATTAACTCAAGATTTAATTCCCTCAAAAGAGATCCTATATCAACTATTACAGTTAAACTTCAGGCAATTGCACTTAAAGAGACTACATGAAAAGAGTAGAGAAGAGAAAGGGAAAGAATCAGAAGGAAGGAGAAGGTAAAGGAGAAACAAAAGAGTTGAAAAGAAGAGGGAAAAATAAATACAAGCAGAGGAGGGAAGAAGAGGGAAGAAACAGCAGGAGGTATCAGAGTCAATAAGAACAGAATTAACTCAAGATTTAATTCCTTCTCAAGAGATCCCATACCAACTGAAAGAGCAGGAGGTAGCAGAGTCAATAAGAACAGAATTAACTCAAGATTTAATTCCCTCAAAAGAGATCCTATATCAACTATTACAGTTAAACTTCAGGCAATTGCACTTAAAGAGACTACATGAAAAGAGTAGAGAAGAGAAAGGGAAAGAATCAGAAGGAAGGAGAAGGTAAAGGAGAAACAAAAGAGTTGAAAAGAAGAGGGAAAAATAAATACAAGCAGAGGCGGGAAGAAGAGGGAAGAAACAGCAGGAGGTATCAGAGCCAATAAGAACAGAATTAACTCAAGATTTAATTCCTTCTCAAGAGATCCCATCCCAACTGAAAGAGCAGGAGGTAGCAGAGTCAATAAGAGCAGAATTAACTCAAGATTTAATTCCCTCAAAAGAGATCCTATATCAACTATTACAGTTAAACTTCAGGCAATTGCACTTAAAGAGACTACATGAAAAGAGTAGAGAAGAGAAAGGGAAAGAATCAGAAGGATGGAGAAGGTAAAGGAGAAAAAAAAGAGTTGAAAAGAAGAGGGAAAAATAAATACAAGCAGAGGAGGGAAGAAGAGGGAAGAAAGAGCAGGAGGTATCAGAATCAATAAGAACAGAATTAACTCAAGATTTAATTCCTTCTCAAGAGATCCCATCCCAACTGAAAGAGCAGGAGGTAGCAGAGTCAATAAGAACAGAATTAACTCAAGATTTAATTCCCTCAAAAGAGATCCTATATCAACTATTACAGTTAAACTTCAGGCAATTGCACTTAAAGAGGCTACATGAAAAGAGTAGAGAAGAGAAAGGGAAAGAATCAGAAGGATGGAGAAGGTAGAGGAGAAACAAAAGAGTTGAAAAGAAGAGAGAAAAATAAATACAAGCAGAGGAGGGAAAAAGAGGGAAGAAAGAGCAGGAGGTATCAGAGTCAATAAGAACAGAATGAACTCAAGATTTAATTCCTTCTCAAGAGATCCCATCCCAACTGAAAGAGCAGGAGGTAGCAGAGTCAATAAGAACAGAATTAACTCAAGATTTAATTCCCTCAAAAGAGATCCTATATCAACTATTACAGTTAAACTTCAGGCAATTGCACTTAAAGAGTTTACATGAAAAGAGTAGAGAAGAGAAAGGGAAAGAATCAGAAGGATGGAGAAGGTAAAGGAGAAAAAAAAGAGTTGAAAAGAAGAGGGAAAAGAAATACAAGCAGAGGAGGGAAGAAGAGGGAAGAAAGAGCAGGAGGTATCAGAATCAATAAGAACAGAATTAACTCAAGATTTAATTCCTTCTCAAGAGATCCCATACCAACTGAAAGAGCAGGAGGTAGCAGAGTCAATAAGAACAGAATTAACTCAAGATTTAATTCCCTCAAAAGAGATCCTATATCAACTATTACAGTTAAACTTCAGGCAATTGCACTTAAAGAGACTACATGAAAAGAGTAGAGAAGAGAAAGGGAAAGAATCAGAAGGAAGGAGAAGGTAAAGGAGAAACAAAAGAGTTGAAAAGAAGAGGGAAAAATAAATACAAGCAGAGGCGGGAAGAAGAGGGAAGAAACAGCAGGAGGTATCAGAGCCAATAAGAACAGAATTAACTCAAGATTTAATTCCTTCTCAAGAGATCCCATCCCAACTGAAAGAGCAGGAGGTAGCAGAGTCAATAAGAGCAGAATTAACTCAAGATTTAATTCCCTCAAAAGAGATCCTATATCAACTATTACAGTTAAACTTCAGGCAATTGCACTTAAAGAGACTACATGAAAAGAGTAGAGAAGAGAAAGGGAAAGAATCAGAAGGAAGGAGAAGGTAAAGGAGAAACAAAAGAGTTGAAAAGAAGAGGGAACAATAAATACAAGCAGAGGAGGGAAGAAGAGGGAAGAAACAGCAGGAGGTATCAGAGTCAATAAGAACAGAATTAACTCAAGATTTAATTCCCTCAAAAGATATTGTTCTAGGCCTCAAAGGTAGAGAATTAACTCTCGAGTTAAGCCGTGAATCATTGACCTTGAAACGCAAACAGATCATGAAGCATTGAAACACGATTTAATCTTAATTAAATCTTGAATTCATTCCCTTCCATATTCATATGCAGGTACTGTGTATTGATGTGTATATACACATAATATTGTACGTATATTAAATGTATGTGTACTATTATTGATTATTAGTACTATATTGTGCGTTAGATATGGTTTATGAATGTTAACATGTCATCAATCAGTATGTTTCCACATATCATAGCGCCATGACAGCCATTGCGCATGTTTACCGCTCAAAGGGTTGCTAGGGCCCATCTCTGCTTGTCAGGAGCGTAAGCCCTGGCAGACATAAGTCTCTTCAGTCACTCAAACTCGCGTGATTCCTATAGACATGCGTCTAGCACTTTAGTGACACATGATTTAAAACAAATTACTGGCATCTGACATCGTCAATCTTCATAGTTGGAACATGTTGGAACCTGTCTTGGTGAAATTAATGTTCTTCATTAAAAACAATTCAGTCCTCAATTTTGTTCCTTAGACACTCAGGTCAGCTTCGAATCCCTGTTTATCCAATCGTTATTACTTCAACTCTATTTTTGCGATTGAGAAAACCCAGCTGTTTGATATGTTGTGTGTCATATATGTGTTTGTTTTTGCTTAACATTTTTACAACCGGCCACAGATCCCCGCAGAAATCCCAAGTTGTGCCGAAACGGGTCAAAAACTTTGGTCCGGTCCAGGAGCCTCCATGTAACACTCCGGGACCCCGCGCGCCGAAACCTTGGTTCGATCGTTGTAGAAGAAGAGCCGCCAGTGCTCATCAAAGCACCTAGGGCGAGGGCGCCCTCCGGGCGGGATAGATTACAAAAAGGGGCTGATACTAATGATTTACTAATGCAATGGTGAGTTGTGTGGCTATTTTTTTTGGGGGGGCAGGTTTGGTGAAGGTCATGGGTATATTGTTTATCTGTGATAGATCTTTATAGAATTATATAGACAGATGAGATGAGATGTTGTGGTAGCAGTTTCACCACACACCGCGCTGCAAAAACACGTCAAGAATCCAGCCCAGTGTTTGGACAATCGCTACCACTATGGATGTGGCCAGATCGAAACCTTGTCATCCTACAACCATGTGTATATATATATGTGGGTTCAAAGTCATAAACAAACATACTATTACATATACCAATAGAAATCGATAGAAATTAAGAGTTGTTTAGCATATATAGTTATAACTATATGTGTATATATATAATACATATATGTATATAATGTATATATATATATATTGTATACGTTAAATTATAATATAAGTTCTATGAATTTTCATTACGTGGTTGGTATTTATATATAGCTAAGTAATTGACTACACACTGAGACAGTGGTGGTTGACCAGTTGACCCTTGCTCAATTCTTCTTGGTGCAGCAGTCCCTATTTTTTGCTTGGCAATTCACTAAGGATGTACAAATACACCAATGGTTCATTGAAACAAAGTGAAGATAAGCGAAGAAACTATACTTTTGCAGGGGTGGAACGGTGAAACACTCTCTATTTCTACCCCAGCGTCCAAGATTGTTCTCATGAAGAGTCTAAGGTGACGTAACACCAGGGCACGGCCGCCATGGTTCCGGCAGTGGTTTCTCCAACATCGACCTGGGGAGAACTACAACGAACACGGTTGGATGGACCACCAGCGACCTGAGGGAACATCATGGGGATAGAATCAATGGATGTAGATATGAGATACATTCATAATATAGAATCATATATATATACATTATGGAGCTAATTAAATCAGACATTTGCAAGCTGCCGCAGCGGGACACGCTTCTGGTTGCAGTATGGCAAAAAACATATACATTATAATACATTATATAACAAAGAGCAAATGGGTGTGTCTGCAAATGGGGTCTTTACCTACCCAGAAAAAATAAGCTACCTTTAAAACACGAGATGATTATTGACGAGCACTGTTTTGCACCCTGTTTATGGCACCCAGTTCCTGTCCAGTGTTGCCCACTGGTTTCACCAAAACGACAGTCCAATCACAGTTGATGCACAACGGATAAGACTCCACATCAGAGATGTTCGGCCCAGTCGGCATTCCAAACGCCAAAACAAACATAAACAAACAAGCAAATAGATACTCTTCCGTCATATCTGCAAGTTTGCTTGTTCGATTTCCAATCTTTCTACTCATGTAGGAATACGCAAGCCTACCAAAAGTATGTCGATC